AAGGTCTGAAGTTGAGGCAGCAATTGATAGCCTACCACCCAAAAAAAGCCCAAGTCCAGATGGGTTCACAGCCAAATTCTACCATACATACAAAGAGGAGCTGGTACCATTCCTTCTGAAACTAGTCCAAATAATACAAAAAGAGGGAATCCTTCCCAAATCATTTTATGAGACCAACATCATCCTGGTACCAAAACCCGGCAGAGACCCAGCAAGAAATGAAAACTTCAGGCCAATATCCATGATGAACATAGACGCAAAAATCTTCAATAAAATATTGGCAAACTGATTGCAACAGCACATCGAAAAGCTTATCCACCATGATCAAGTAGGATTCATCCTGGGGATGCAAGGCTGGTTCAACATACACAAGTCTATAAACGTAATTCACCACATAAACAGAACCAAAGACAAAAACCACATGAGTATCTCAACTGTTGCAGAGAAGGCCTTTGACAAAATTCAACAGCCTTTTATGCTAAAAACCCTCAATAAACTAGGTACTGAAGGAACGTATCTCAAAATAATAAAAGCTATTTATGACAAACCAACAGCCAATATCATACTGAATGGGCAAAAACTGGAAGCATTCCCTTTGAAATCTGGCACTAGACAAGGAAGCCCTCACTCACCACTGCTATTCAATATAGTATTGGAAGTTCTAGCCAGAGTAATCAGGCAAGAAAAAGAAATAAAGGGTATTCAATTAGAAAAGGAGGAAGTCAAATTGTCTCTATTTGCAGACGACATGATTGTATATTTAGAAGACCCCATTGTCTCAGCCCAAAATCTCCTGAAACTGATAAGCAAGTTCAGCAAAGTCTCAGGATACAAAATCAATGTGCAAAAATCACATGCATTACTATACACCAATAACAGACTTAAAGACAGCCAAATCAAGAACAAACTGCCATTTACAATTGCTACAAAGAGAATAAAATACCTAGGAATACAACTAACAAGGAACGTAAAACACTTCTTCAAGGAGAACTACAAACCACTGCTCAATGAAATAAGAGAAGACACAAACAGATGGAGAAACATTCCATTTTCATGGTTAGGAAGAATCAATATCATGAAAATAGCTATACTGCCCAAAGTAGTTTACAGATTCAATGCTATCCCTATCAAGCTACCAATGACCTTCTTCACAGAACTGGAAAAAAACACCTTAAACTTCATATGGAACCAAAAGAGAGCCTGCACAGCCAAGTCAACTCTAAGCAAAAAGATCAAAGCGGGAGGCATCAAACTACTGGACTTCAAACTATACTACAAGGCTACAGTAATCAAAACAGCATGACACTGGTACCAAAACAGAGATACAGCCCAATGGAACAGAACGGAGGCCTTGAAGGCAACACCACACATCTACAACCATCCGATCTTTGACAAACCTGACAAAAACAAGCAATGGGGAAAGGAATCCCTGTTTAATAAATGGTGTTGGGAAAACTAGCTAGCCATGTGCAGAAAGCAGAAACTGGACCCCTTCCTGACACCTTACACTAAAATTAACTGCAGATGGATTAAACACTTAAACATAAGACCTAGCACCATAAATACCCTAGAAGAAAATCTAGGCAAAACCATTCAGGACATAGGTGTAGGCAAGGACTTCATGACCAAAACACCAAAAGCATTGGCAACAAAAGCCAAAATAGACAAATGGGACCTAATCAAACTCCACAGCTTCTGCACAGCAAAAGAAACAGTCATTAGAGTGAATTGGCAACCAACAGAATGGGAAAAAAATTTTTGCAATCTACCCATATGACAAAGGACTGATATTCAGAATCTAGAAAGAACTAAAACACATTTACACGAAAAAAACAAACAAGCCCATTCAAAAGTGGGCGAAGGATATGAACAGACACTTTACAAAAGAAGACATACATGAGGCCAACAAACATGAAAAAATGCTCGTCATCACTGGTTATTAGAGAAATGTAAATCAAAACTACATTGAGATACCATCTCACACCAGTTAGAATGGCAATCATTAAAAAATCTGGAGACAGGGCCGGGCGCGGTGGCTCAAGCCTGTAATCCCAGCACTGTGGGAGGCCGAGGCGGGTGGATCACGAGGTCAAGAGATCGAGACCATCCTGGTCAACATGGTGAAACCCCGTCTCTACTAAAAATACAAAAAATTAGCTGGGCATGGTGGCGTGTGCCTGTAATCCCAGCGACTCAGGAGGCTGAGGCAGGAGAATTGCCTGAACCCAGGAGGCGGAGGTTGCGGTGAGCCGAGATCGCGCCATTGCACTCCAGCCTGGGTAACAAGAGCGAAACTCCGTCTCAAAAAAAAAAAAAAAAAAAAAAAATCTGGAGACAACAGATGCTGGAGAGGATGTGGAGAAATAGGAACACTTTTACACTGTTGGTGGGAGTGTAAATTAGTTCAACCATTGTGGAAGACAGTGTGGTGATTCCTCAAGGACCTAGAAATAGAAATTCCATTTGACCCAGCAATCCCATTACTGGATATATATCCAAAGGATTATAAATCGTTCTACTATAAGGACGCATGCACACGAATGTTCATTGCAGCACTGTTTACAATAGCAAAGACCTGGAACCAACCCAAATGCCCATTAATGATAGACTGGACAGGGAAAATGTGGCACATATACACCATGGAATATTATGTAGGTATCAAAAACAATGAGTTCGTGTCCTTTGTAAAGACATGGATGAACCTGGAAACCATCATTCTCAGCAAAATGACACAAAAGAGAAAATCAAACACTGCATGTTCTCACTCATAGGTGGGTGTTGAACAATGAGAACACATGGACACAGGGAGGGGAGCATCACACTGGGGTCTGTCGGGGGAAATAGGGGAGGGTCAGCAGGGGGTGGGGAGTTGGGGAGAGGTTGCACAGGGAGAAATGCCAGATATAGTTGATGGGGAGGAAGGCACCAAATCACACTGCCATGTATGTACCTATGCAACAATCTTGCATGTTCTTCACAGGTACCCCCAAACCTAAAATGCAATAAAAAAAAAAAAGATTAAAAAAAAAAAGTTACAAATAGAACTAATGTATTTGATCCAGCCATTCCACTACTGGATATATATATCCACAGGAAAGGAAATCAATATATTGAAGAGACATGTGCACCCCCATGTTTATTGCTGCACTATTCACAGTAGCCAAGATATGGACTCAACCTGAGTGTCCTTCAGCAGATGAATAAAGAAAATGTGATGTATATACAAAATGAAATACTATTCAGCCATAAAAAATAAGGAAATCTGTCATTCATGCTAACATGAATGGAGCTAGAGGACATTACGTTAAGTGAAATAACCTAGGAACAAAAAGTTAAACACTACAAGTTCTCATTCATATGCAGAAGTTTAAAAAAGTTTACTCAAAGAAGTAAAAAGCAGAACAGAGGTTTCTAGAGGTTGGGAAGGGTGGTGCAAAGGTGAGGAGCGGGAAAGATTTCTTAAAGGATACAAAACTACAGCTACATAGGAGAAGCAAGTTCTAGTGTTTTATAGCATCACAGGATGACTATAATTAACAATATATTATACACTTTCAAATTAACAATATATTATATACACTTTCAAATAGCTAGAAGTGAGGTTATTGAATGTTCCCAACTGAAATAAGTGATAAATGTTTGAGATGATAGATATGCTCTGATCCAATCACTATACATTGTATACAGGTATGGAACCATCACTATGTACCCCATAAATATGTATCATTAGTATGTGCCAATTAAAAATGTTTTAAAAATCAGTATAATACCATTAGAGGGTTCAAAACACAGGGGAAAAAAATTCTCCATAATCCACCTTTCACACTTACACAATTTCTATCATTTTCATATTTTTCTTTTTTTTCTTTGGAGACGGAGTCTTGCTCTGTTACCCAGGCTGAAATGCAGTGGCAAGATCATGGCTCGCTGCAGCCCCAAGCTCCTCGGTCTCAAGAGATTCTGCCACCTCAGCTTCCCAAGTAGAACGCACCACTATGCCAGGCTAATTTTTGTAGAGACGGGTTTTGCCATGTTACCCAGGCTGATGTGGAATTCCTAGGCTCAAGCAATCCACCCATCTCCACCTCCCAAAGTGCTGGGATTACATGTATGAGCCATCACATCTGGCCATTTTTGTATTTATCTACATATATATACAATTTCACAGTTGAAAAGTCAATTATACATTTTTCTATCTGATTTTCTTCACTTATTATCACAAGGTTTTCTTCGTATTGCCTCCTGGGGTTCCTAACTACACAATGGTTGCAGAATATTCCGTCAAGTAAATGGACCATCATTTAATGAACTATTCTAAAAGTACTGTTTCTAGTTTTCTATCATTATAGCACTCCTTTATGCATTTGGCCTTTTTCCTGCCTTAGATTAACTTATTAAGATAAAGTTCCATTGGGAGGCTGAGGCAGGCAGATCACTTAAGGTCAGGAGTTCAAGACCAGTCTGGCCAACATGGTGAAACCCTGTCTCTACTAAAAATACAAAAATTAGCCAGGCATGGTGGCACACACCTATAGTCCCAACTACTTGGGAGGCTGAGTCACAAGAATCGCTTGAACCCGGGAGGTAGAAGTTGCAGTGAGCCAAGATGGTTCCACTGCACTCCAGCCTGGGTGACACTGTGAGACTCCATCTCAAAAAAAAAAAAAAAGATAAAGTGCCAGATGTGAGGTTACCGAGCTCAAGGAAGGATAGACACTTACAGCCAACAGGGCTCCTAACACTCGATGCCACACTGTTTTCCCGAAGGATGAACCCTATGCCTACTGCAGCATTATTCACAATTACCAAGAAACAGAATCAACCAGAACGTCCATCAACAGATGAATGGACAAGAAAATGTGGTGCACGTACGCAATGAAGTACACTTTAGCAGTAAAGAAGGATGAAATTCCGTAATTCGTGCCAGCATGGATGGAGCTGGAGGACACTGTTAAGTGAAATAACATGATGACAGCGATCAGAAATGAACCCAGACTCACTCTCTTCACGGCTCCTTCCCCGACACGCTTCAGCTGTCTCACTTCTGTTCTCAGCTCCTCGCAGGACAGCCAAGGTGAGCAGTTTTTCATCAGTCCTATCCTGAAGTGACCATAGGGACAGTGTCTGGGGTCCACCAGGGACTGCCGATGGGCAATGAAGAAGCGGTCGAGGCAGAGGTAGAGCAGAGTGTTCATCAGGGCCATGACCAGCAGCAGCCCAACGGCTGGGGGTACCTCTCGGGGAGCGAGGCCTCTCCTGCTGTTCTGGGGCTGCTTTTCCATGCTGACAGCCTCTACAATTTCCTAAAATACACAATGAAACAAGAAGTCGTTATAGTCAGCTTTCATTTCCAAGAATGTATTCTGATGCCTCTTCTACTCAAGGGTCCTGTAAGCTACAACATTACCATGAGGATTAAAGCAGATATCGAACACCAAGCTTACCCCAAATACCCAATGTTAGCTATTCCCATAATCATTACTTTTTATTACAATGTGGGTTCCTTTAGATTAGATTACATTAGGTGGGAGGTATTTGTGTCTAACTGTCCGACTCACAGTAGCATGCATTGAATAGATGCTCATGAATATTCAGTCAAATGAAAGCAAAATGTATTAGCTGGTAGGATGAGGACAGAGGGTGGACAAAGGACAACTGAAGGAGGCTGCTTAGGGTAGTAGGTGGAGTCTGGGAGGCTGAAGGTCTCTTGAACCCAGCTAATCAGCTGTTCTGTTCCCTGGGAGGTACTCAGAATCCCCTGAACAGTTTTAAGAAGCAAAAGCTACTCTTCAGCAGTGATGAAAGTTACATTTGGGGTAAAAGAGACTGAGGCTGGGAGACCAGTTAGGAGGTCCTGGTTATGACCAGGGACAGGAGCTGACAAGTACACTAGCTAGAATAACAGTAGTGAGATTAGAGAGATGACCACTCAGAGGTGACACCAGTAATAAGTGACCACCAATAAGGTGTGGCCTCTACCGCTGGAGCCGTTCAAGGCCATGGTGGAGGGGCCTGGGGGCAGAGAGGCCTGAAGTAGGACCCTGGATGGCAGAAGTGATTTATGCAAGCAGAATGGAAGTGTATGGAGACTTTAACAGTGGACGTGGCCATGCCGGTGCGAGCCAGCTGAACAGCACTGGAATGCCGGGGCACGGGGACAGAAATGGGCCAGAGACAGTTGCAACATGCAGGTTACCTCCAATGTGCATCTCCTCCAGTTCAGGTCTCCATCCAGGTACCTGGTCAGTCCATGCTCTGGCTGGCACCTAGGGACTGGTCTGGAAATACCCTGCCACAAAGTACCAAACAGGAAGTGTGTAAACAGAAACTTGTAGCTCTGTACCCAGACCAATCGCCATAGTCCAAACGGCCCACATTCCCCAGGGGCCCTTCTCCTGCCTCAAGTCCAGCTGTCCTCTCAAGCCCCAGGACAGAGCAGTGCCATGGGGAAGCTCTGTGCTGCCTCACCAGCCTCTCCGTCCCAGTCTGCTCCCTTCACCTCCATCACTGACTTCCAGCTGCTCATTCACACAACATGTCCTGAGCAGCTTCTATGTGTCCAGCCCTGCACTGGATGCTGGAGACACACAAGTGAATTACACCAGCATGGTTCTCATCCTGCTGGAGCTTAGGGGAAAGTCTAGTGGGGAAGACAGACAATAAGCAAGTACACAAAAAGGTCTATCATCATCCTGTGATGAGGGTTCAAAGATAGAAAGCAACAGTGGAGGAACTCCCTGGAGGAAGCATCCCAGGAGACCTCTCTGAGGAGGTAACCTTCACACTGAGACCAGAGGCCTGAGAGGAGCCAGACATGAAAAACCCAGGACAGGAAGCTCGTTCCTACCTCCTCCTTAAATCCACTCCCTGGCTGGGCGGGGTGGCTCAGGCCTGTAATCCCAGCACTTTGGGAGGCCAAGGCAAATGGATCACGAGGTCAAGAGATGGAGACCATCCTGCTCAACACAGCGAAACACCATCTCTACTAAAAATACAAAAATTAACTGGGTGTGGTGGGATGTGCCTGTAGTCCCAGCCACTTGGGAGGCTGAGGCAGAATTACTTAGGAGGTAGAGGCTGCGGTGAGCCGAGGTTGTGCCATTGCACTCCAGCCTGGCAACAGAGCAAGACTCCATCTCAAAAAAAAAAAAAAAAAAAAAAAAAAAAAAATCCACTCCCATTCACAGAGCTGGGACAAGAAATCAATGAAACCACAAAGTTCACAGGAAACAGCATTTCTCTTAAGAGCATGCTGCAGCCATAAAGCGTAAAAAACTCCCTTTGGATGGAAACTCCTTTCTTACTATTTAGAAATTTTGTTCTCTACAATTAGACTACCAGAAATTTTGCAGTTGGAATAAAACATCGCATTCTTGCCTGGAGGATCAAAGTCACTCTGACACAGACAAGCAACCTCAATTTCCAAACAAGGCAGAGCTTCAGATAAGGAGTTTCTGGAAACGATCCTGCACATCTGTGTTAACCTGGTATTCTCCAAGGAAAGAAGACCACTTTGCATTCCAGACTAGATCTTGGCCCCTTTACACCCAGCCTACACGTAGGCTTTCGGCCCATCAAAACACTATTTCATTTACATTTGCCTAAACTTCACTCATCTCCAGAATTCTATGATTTTCTTTTCTTTTTTGTTTTTAGGGGAGACGGAGTCCCGCTCTTGTCGCCCAAGCTGGAGTGCAGTGGTACAATCTCGGCCCACTGCAACCTCCACCTCCTGGGTTCAAGTGATTCTCCTGCCTTAGCCTCCTGAATAGCTGGAACTACAGGCGCCTGCTACCACACTAGGCTAAATTTTGTATTTTTAGTAGAGATGGCATTTCACCGTATTTGACCAGGCTGGTCAAACTCCTGACCTTGTGCTTCACCCGCCTCAGCCTCCCAAAGTGCTGGGATTACAGGGGTGAGCCCCCACAACTGGCCGATTTTCTTTTTCTTTTTTTTTTTTTAAGAGATAGGATCTGACTCTGTCACTCAGGCTGGAGTGCAGTGGTGCAATCACAGCTCAGTGCAGCCTCAAACTCAAGCAAGCCTCTCACCTCTGCTTCCTAAGTAGGACTACAGGTGCACACCACCGCAACCAGCTAATTTTTGTTTTTTGTTTTTGTTTTGTAGAGACTGGGTCTCATGATGTTGCCTAGGCTGGCCTTGAACTCCTAGCCTTAAGCAATCCTCCTGCCTCAGCCTCCCAAACTGCTGGCATTACAGGCATAAGCCACCACACCTGGCCTTTTAAATTTATTTTCATCCCCTCCACAGCTCTACTCACCCCCTTCATCAGTATTCCCTGGAACCTCAACACACTCCAGTACCCTACAGACACAGGCACACAAGTTCACACTGTTCTGGCACTCCTGAGCGTACTGCAGACCTCACACCGCTGACTCTCCCAACAATGGCACACACTTCAGTGCCTCTGAATACCTTAAATCAGTAGCAGCCTCTGTAATACCTTAAATCATCCAGCTGCCCCTTCCTAGAGTGTCTCTGTGTTCAGTGACACATGCGCACCTCACGCCACCTTGACCTTAGTGCACTGGGCCTCTGACAGCACCGAGACCCTTCCCATACCACCACCCCATGCCCCACACAGATCCACAACCTTCACCCCACTAGCACAGGTCTCCCACCATCCTCCTTCCACCAGATCCCTCCATGAGGTCCTTCCAGCTCTGCCCCATTAGCATGCACTAGGCTCCAACTACCCAGACCTTTATTAGGACGTGCACACACCCTCCACAGCATGACCTCCACGAGGACACACATAGCACTCGAGTCTTTCAACCACCTCCCCTCCATAAGCACCCCATTCTCTCCTATCCCTCAGGCCCCCACAGATACACACACACTCTCATCACCACACATGAGGCCTCAGAGGCCTATTAGCACATATCCTGGTGCCTCTACCACCCTATCCTCCATTAGCACACACTGGGCCCCTCTCCAGGAGTAACCCCTATTAGCTTGTCTTGGAACTTCCTCGACATCCTACCCCTGTAATACACCCGTGGGTCCCTTACTCACTCTGCAACCCCCTTCCCTAAGCACACACTGGGCCTTGAGCCTCACCCACCATAAGACTCTTCTTCACCACATTCTCCAAGCCCTGCTCAGCCCAGGCCCTCGCTGGCAAAGCTCCAGTCTCTCCCCACTACACCACCTATTCCCACACCTCTGCTCTTCTGACCCCCTGCTCCCCATTAGCACTCACGGCACTTCCCATTCCCAGCTCCCCGCACCAGGCCAGGTCAGAGACGCCACAAAGGACACCCGCCCTGGTGCCCTCAGATGATTCTCTGTCCCTTGATGGAGACACACAAGTCCTGCCGATGTGCAGTCTTGCTTATCACAGTGAGTCAATAAACAGAACACGTGTGTCCCAAGTGGCCTTAGGCTGGCTGGAAGGTCACGCTCTCCTTCTCCAAACATATACCACCTCTTCCCCAACCTTCACTCTCAGCTGATCATCTTACAAGATCATCCTACTTTACTGGAAAAACAGAAGCAATCAGAGAGCATTTCCACCAGTTCCCAAGCCCCACCCCAGGTTCCTGCAGTCTCCTGTTATTATGAACTGTGTGTTACCCTGAAACCAGCCCAGCGCCCAGCTCAGGCACACCCCATGCCCAGCTCTGTCCTCTCATTCTCTCCAACTCACCGCCACTCCACCCAAACTGACCTTATCACAGTCAGTCAGCACGGGTGACCTCCACATCACTAAACACAACAGTCAAAGTGCAGCCCCCATCTTCCTTGACCTATCAATAGCATCTAGTGTGATTGATCACTCCCTACTTAAACACCTTCTTTACTTGGTTTCCAGGAAATTACACTCTGGCAGCTCTTCCTCATCTCTGAGTCCACTTAGTGGGGTCCCCCAGAGCTCAGAGCTCAGACCTCTTCCCACACTCCCTGGGAGAGCTCACCCAGACTCTGGACTTTTCATCTCTGCCTGCTAACAACTTCCAAAGGTTAAAACTTCAATCCCAGCCTCTCCTCAGAACTCAAGGCTTGCTTCCTTGACATGTCCATGTGGATGTCTGATGAACAACTCAAAAGATTCAAAAACAATACCAAATAACTCAATTTAAAAATGAGGAAAGGGCCAGGCATTGGTGGCTCACACTTGTAATCCCAGCACTTTGGGAGACCGAGGTGGGAGGATCGCTTGAGCCTAGGAGTTCCAGACCAGCCAGGGCAACCTAAGACCTTGTGTCTGCAAAAACTAAATTTAAAAATTAGCCAGGCGCCGGGCGCGGTGGCTCACGCCTGTAATCCCAGCACTTTGGGAGGCCGAGGTGGGTGGATCACGAGGTCAAGAGATCGAGACCATCCTGGTCAACATGGTGAAACCCCGTCTCTACTAAAATTACAAAATATCAGCTGGGCATGGTGGCACGTGCCTGTAATCCCAGCTACTCAGGAGGCTGAGGCAGGAGAATTGCCTGAACCCAGGAGGCGGAGGTTGCAGTGAGCCGAGATCACGCCATTGCACTCCAGCCTGGGTAACAAGAGCGAAACTCCATCTCAAAAAAAAAATTAGCCAGGCATGTTGGCATGTGCCTGTAGTCCCAGCTATTCAGGAGACTGAGGTGGAGGATCATTTGAGCCCAGGAGACCAAGGCTGCAGTGAGCTGTGATCATGCCACAGCACTCCATCCTAGGTGACAGTGAGGCTTTGTCTCAAAATAAACCAAATAAAATTTTTAAAATGGGCAAAGGACTTGAATAGACACTTCTCCAAAGAAGATACACAGATAGCCAACAAGCACATGAAAGACGTTCAGCTGCACCAGTCATCAAGGCAAACACAGATCAGAAGTGTGACAAGATGGCATTTCACACCCAGGAGGATGGCTGTTAATACAAAAATCAGTAAGAACATGAGTTTAGGGGGATGTGGAGAAACTGGAATCTTCAAACATCACTGGTGGGAAAGTAAAATGCAGCCACTGTGGAAAGCAGTCTGGCCACTCCTCAAAAGGTTAAGCACAGTCACCACATGACCCAGCAACTCCACTGCCCAGAATGTACCCAAGTATGTACTGCCCAGTATGTACCCAGTATGTACACTGAAAAAACACGTGCTCACGCACACACTTATACATGAATGTTCACGGAAGCATTATCCACAACAGTCAAACAGTGGAAATAACCCAAGTGTTCATCGGCTGATGAATGGATAGACAAAATGTGGTACATCCATAAATTATTATTCGGCCATAAAAAAGAATAAAGCACTAATTCATGCTGCAACATAAGTGAACCCTGGAAACATCATGCTCAGTGAAATAAGTCTGATAAAAAGGTCATATTCTGTACTATTCCATTTACATGAAATGTCCAGAAGCAGCAAATTCAGAGACAGAACATAGATTCGTAGCTGTCAGAGGCTGGGGGGTTGGGGGTGGAATAGCTGCTGACAGGGATGGGGTCTCTTTTTGGCTACAATGTTCCTAAATTAGACAGTGATGATGGTTGTACCACCTGGTGAATATGCTAAATGCCACTGAATTGTGCACTGAATTCTCCCCTTAACATTTAAAAAGACAAAAGCATTCTCAGCTCTCAGGCTATACAAAACAAGCAGCAAACTGTGGTTGGCCAAGCCCTGCCTTAGGTGACAGCACTGCTTCAGGTCTGCCAAAGGCCCAGGTAACCTCATCCACACATAGGGCACTGGCAGCCACCTGAACTCTGATGCTTTCTAAGTCTGCACTGCAGCCCAGATCTCTCCTATGCTTTGCTCACTGGGCTATCAAGATATGGGATATCCACTCCAGAACTCCCACCTGTCCCCACATGCCCCTCCTCCAGGATTCCCTTGGTGATCGGCTCATGACCCAACCACCCACTCAAGTCACAGACCAGGTGTATGACTTGATTCCGCTCTCCCCTAATCTCTAAACCAACCAATTACCACATGGAGTCAATGCTCCCACCAAAACCTCCCTCATAGCTGCTCGCCTCTCTCCTTCCTTGCTGCCTCTCCCACTCCCAACACCCCACCTTCCCACCTCCGGTGTAAGCCAGCAGCACTTTTCACCTGGGTTTCCGCAAAAGATTCCCACCCAGTTCTTCCTCTTTTCCAGTCCATTCTGAGGATTACATAGCAAACAATAGGATCCTTTTTCTTTAATTAAATGTTTCACACAGAGAGAAAAATTAAAAACATCAATGAACATCCATCCAGCTTTGTCAAGTTATGCTGCGTCATTTTTTCAGATTTTTTTTTTAAAGAAATTAAATATTACAACTAGAGTTGAAGCCCCTCTGGACTCCTCCCCATCCAATTCTGCTCCCTCCCAAGAAGTGATCACTGTCTTCAAGCTGTTAAGTTGGTGGACATCAGAGATTCTCAAACTGAGGTCCCCAGACTGGTGGCATCACCACTGCTCAGGACCTTGGGAGAAATGCAAATTCTTGGGTCCTCACCCCAGACCTACTGAATCAGAAATGAAAATCTGTGTTTTAATAAGTCCTCTAGGTGATTTGGATGCACACTAAAGTATCTGAAAAATACACATGCTATCTATCTATCTACCTACCTATCTAATTGATCATCTAATCTAGCTTATCTATTTACCTACCTCCTTACAACCCGGAGTCACACTATGTTGCCCAGGCTGGACTCTGGGCTCAAGTGAACCTGGGACTAACTACAGGCATGGGCCACTGAACTCAGCTTCCCATACGTGATTTTTATTTTCACCACAAGTATGTGCCCATAAATAATACATTATGTTTTCCAGCTTTATACAAACAGTGGTGGGCTGGTATTATCCTCTTGCAACTAGCTTTTTTAAAAGCTCAAGGTTACGTTTTTGAGATTTATCCATGGAGATACACAAAGTTCCGGTTCACTATTTTCAACTGGTATGACTTTTCCACAATTAGTGAGACAAGTTATGTACACATCTCCCCAGGCATATGTGGAAGTTTCTCTGATACATGCAGGGAGAGCTTTCTAAAGCACGGATCAGATCCCATTTTGCTTAACATTCAAAAGCCCCCAACTCAGCCCTCAGGATCAAGTCCAAACTCTTATGTGGCCTCCTGAAATCTAGCCCCTCCCTGCCTCCCTAGACCCTCCCTGCATCCCACACCCCAGCCCCTGAGCTTTCCTCAGTCCTCAAAGGCTCCCTTTTTGGGATGCCCAGGCCCCGGCTTCCTCTAGATTCTGAGTACTAAGAGTCATGCCTGCCTGTCCTGTCCACCACTGTCCTGTTCCGGCAGCAGCAGGTACTCAGCAAAGACACACCAACTGCCTGGTCACTCTGCGCCTCTCCCTCTTCATGGCCTCAGCCACACAGGCTGCTTTCCCTCTCCTGTGTTCACTTCACCCAATCTGCTCTTCCTCTCCTCAAGGCTCCCATCCTCTGAGGCCCCTTATCTGCTACTGCCACCTCCTTCTCCAATCCAAGTTCCCCAGCTCAAACCCCATGGTGAATCCTTTCAACTCTCCAAGCCTAACCTCCCACACATCCTTCCTTGCCACTAGGGGTGAAGTCAGGTTTTATGGGGCCTGAAGCTTATACAACTGGGGGCAAGGGGCGGTAATTCTTTAAGGGAAGAATACACAATTATGAATGTAAAACTGCTGAGCACCTTGCCAGGGTTTTGGAAGGTATTTGTGCAAGTATAGCATCTAGAGGCTTCATCATAAACCCAGATCTGCTTGTCATTCACCAGCCCTGTGTCACCTGCCCTGTCCACTTCTTCATTTCCACTCAAAGGCTGCCAAAATCAGCTACGAAACTCTGTAGGACTCTGGAAATGCATATTTTCCAATCTGCGCTGGACCCTCATCATTACTCAGAAAACCTTTAATGCATTCCTTGCTGAATCCAAATTTTATATTCCCCAGTAACCTTTTCTATATCCCTAAGTCCTCGCATTCACTTCTGAATCCTCTCTCAGCAAAAAGCAACCAAATCAAAATGAAACAAATTTAAAAATCCCCAAAAATTCATCTGAATGTCAACTTCACACCAGTTCTGTGAGGTGGATATAATTGTTGTTATTCCCATTTCACAGATAAGACAACTGAGTCAGAGATGAAGTAATAAATCCAAGGTCACTAAATTATACACAGAAGAGCCAAGTTTTCTGGCCTCAAGCCCATTCTTCCTCTGCAATGCTCAGGAGTTGAACTAAGTCAAACCCAGTGTGGTCACCTGGGGGCTGCCTGGGGGACCCTGGGACTGCTGGTTTCTTAAAAAAGACTTTAGCCCACCTCAACCCTTGATTTGCTTTTTTGTTTCAGAGGCATATTCTGGAGTAGGTCACCCAGAGCATAGGATGAGGCTGTGTGGCTGAATGAACTTTCCGGTCCAGAAACAAGCAAAAACCACTGAAATTTACTGGTCCTGAAAAACAGCCTGCACATTAAAGAATAAAGAAGGTAGGCAGATTGGGCAGGAGAAATTCAGACACGACATGTAGGAAGGCTTACTGATAGAGGAAAAACTTGAGATCCACTGCTCTACATTTACAGCTTAAAGAAAAAAGAAAAGCACAGGAACAAAACTAGTTTTTACCGACTTACAAGGTATTTTCTACAACTAGAGAAGACAGAGTAGTGTCATTCAATACAATTTAGAGTTCCATTTTGCCAATAAAGCACAAGGCACATTAAGAAGATTATTTTAAACATTCCGGATGTTTATTTAGCCTTAGTGTTCTATAGTAAAGGCAAAGGGTGGCAAAGACAAATTATGCAATAAAACAGCCAAATTTTGCTTTCTAAAAAGAATATGATTACGCTTAACACACCCGGGCAACAATGATCTCGTGCAGAATAAATACCCAAAGGCAAAGAGCTGAGGTGGAGTCCTTTCTGGTATTTTCGTTTTGTTTTGTTTTGTTTGTTTTTAAATAGAGACAGCCTCCGCCCGGCTCTTGCCTGTAATTCCAGCACTTTGGGAGGCCGAGGCAGGTGGATCACCTGAGGTGAAAAGTTCGAGAACAGATTGGTCAGCATGGCGAAACCTCGTCTCTACTAAAAATACAAAACTAAGCCAGGCGTGGTGGTGGGTGCCCATAACCCCAGCTACTCGGGAGACTGAGGCAGGAGAATGGATTGAACCTGGGAGCCGAGATAGCGCCAATGCACTCCAGCCTGGGCGACAGTGCGAGACTCCGTCTCAAATAATAAAAAAATAATAGAAACAGCCTCACACTCCGTCCCCCAGGCTGGAGTGCAATGGAGTGATCTCGGCTCACTGAAACCTCCGCCCCCGGGTTCAAGCGATTCTCCAGACTCAGCCTCCCAAATAGCTGGGATAACAGGCGGGCCACCGCAGCCGGCCAAGTTTTTTAATAGAGACAGGGGTTCCGCCATGTTGCCCAGGCTGCTCTCCCCTGAGCTCAAGCGATCCTCCCGCCTCAGCCTCCAAAACCGCTGGGATTACATGCGGGAGCCATCGCGACCGACCCTTGTCGGGTCCTTTAATGTCCAGCTCCAGCGCAGGGCGGGGCGCGGAGGTGGGGGCCAGGCGAGGTGGATGCGGCTGCCCGGGCCCCGCGCAGCCTCCTCGGGAGCCTCCCGACCGCTCGCGTGGAGGCGGCCGGGGCTGCGGGGGGTGCAGGCCGCGTCACGTATAGGCCCCGCGGGAAACCTAGTTGCAAGCCCCTCGCCCCTCGCTCCTCGCCGTTGAGCCCTGCCGCCCCTCGAACCCCTTGCCCCTTGGCCCTCTCGCCCTAGCACCTACCTGCAACCCAGGTCTCTGCGCCCCCTGCCACTCCGGCCAGCACGCACTGGGCCTACTGCGCTTGCGCGGTCGGAAGCGCGTCCTGGGGTAGAGCGCGACGCTGCTGCCCCCTGGCGTCCGCCTCCGACCGTGCACTGAAGCCGGAGCAAGCGCCGCGGTGGTGCCGGCGCGCGCCTAGCCAGTCTCCGGCTCTGGCTTCTGCTTCCTGAACTTGCGAGGACGATTTTGCGTTGACCGACTATTGCTTCAGCCTGGTGCCAGGCCCGTGCAGAGCAGCTGTCAGATTTCGACGCACTGCGAGGCCGTGGATTCCAAAGCGTAGTCCTCAGACCCGCGGCATCAGCAGGGGCCTTGCTGGGAAGGCAGATTCCCCACTCCGGCCCAGATCCGCTGTGCGGGGACCCAGATGCCTGAAGTTCGAGACTCGCTCTGTAACAGAAACTGTGGGCTTTAGCCCAGACGTCGTAAAGCTGAGCTGCACACATCAAGCGCAGCAGACAAGACCTAGGCAAGCCTCCGCAGAGAAGTGGGACTGGGCAAGAGCAGGGAAGACAGCCGGTGGCCGGCCAGGAGCACCACACGCACGCGGGCGCTTGCTCCAGGGAACCGATAGGGAGGCTTGCAGCGTCGAGGTCAGCCTGGGGTCATGGAAGGTCTGGGCTGTGTACATCGGAAGTGTTAGCTGTTTCCACACTGACACACTGCGAAAGTTCAGAATCAAGACACTAACACTATGTAGGATAAAAAACTGTACTAGCAACCCAAATAGTATTAAAGTAACTTCCAGCAACTTTTGCCTGTCACATGGACAAATAGCAAAAGAAGAATGGTAACACCTCCTGTCGTTAGAGTCTGAACGTGTCCTTGCACTCATACAATTGAGTGTGAATTGGAATTCCTCCTGCGGGCCCTAGCAAATCGCAGTTCTAGGAATTTATCCTTCAGAAATAATATGTCTGCAAGATGTATGCACAAGAAATCTTGCTGAACCATTGTTGATAAGGGATATTTATACTAGAGAAAAAAAGAAACCTAAATGTATAACAATAGGGGTTTCTGAAAGAAATTATATTACATCCACAAGCCATGAAAAATGATGCTGTCTAACGGGTGCACAATTTCAGTTTGAGAAGATGGTAGAGTCCTGGAGATGGATGGGGGTGATGGTTGCACAACAATGTGAATATACCTAATTCCACTGAACTGAACTGCACACTTCCAAATTGTTACAATGGTAAATTTTATGTTATGCATCTTTTACTACAATGTTTTTAAAGTTATGCTATAGATCTATATATATATTGTCAGGAAAGGATATCCATAATACATGGCCAAGAGAGGAAGCAATCTCATTTTTTAAAAATATGTATTTATAATCATATATATACATGTATATTCCAATGGTTACCTCCAATAAGTAGAATTTGGGGCAATTTAAATTCTCCATTCTTGCTTATTTGTATTTTTAAATGTTTATGTAATAAATAGGTATTTCTCCATATATGTGTATGTGTGTGTGTGTATATATATATATAAACCATGAACCTGCTAGCAGTATTAGACATGTATGATGACATACCTTAGAAGGAAGGCATTTAGAAAGATCATAAAACAAACCTATTAAATTAATAATAACTTTTTAAAATAAAGTAGGCCAGGCACAGTGGCTTATACCTGTAATCTCAGCACTTTGGGAGGCCAAGGCAAGTGGATCACTTGACGTCAGGAGTTCGAGACCAGCCTGACCAACATGGTGAAATCCCATCTCTACTAAAAATACATAAATAAGCCAGGGGTGATGGCAGGCACCTGTAGTCACAGCTACTCAGGAGGCTGTGGCAGGAGAATTGCTTGGATCCAGGAAGTGGAGGTTTCAGTGAGCCAAGATCACACCACTGCACTCCAGCATGGATAACAGAATAAGACTCTGTCTCAGGTGGGAAAAAAAAAGAAGTAAGTAAAAGGAAAATGGATGAGATATGAGAAACTTTGAATATGAGAATTTTGAAGGGAAAAAAATTGAAATTTTACCAGATGTAGGGAATTAAGGAAATAAATGAAGTGTAGTCAATTCAACTATAACACATTTTAAAGACACAAATTTGTTTCAATATGACTGATATATTAAGAATTAAGCATAACACAAATTTCCTATTTGGTTGGTTGGTTTTGTTTCATTTTGGTTTGATTTCAGAAAGTCTCACTACATTGTCCAGGTTGGTCTCAAATTCCTGGCCTCAAGTGGTTCCCCTGCCTTATCCTCCCAAAATGCTGGGATTACAGGTGTGAGCCACCAATTTACTGTTTCTAGATATGTGATTTCATCCTGGAGAGGCACTAGGGGGATGCAGAAAATGATCCTCTAAGCCACACTGCATAGGAATACACAAGGCATGCACATGCACACCCCTCGACATCTATCACATTCTTCAATACACTGTTATAAGCCACACCCATAGACACCGGCTGTTACAGCTGTCAGATTTCAGCTAACCCTGTCCCCAGCACCTCACCATAACTTACAAGCTGCTGCCCTTCTAAGCCTGCTTCCAGTGGCAAGCTCCAGGTCTTCTTTAAGGTCAAGTACCGTGTTTATTATCAAACTTATGCTCTCTTAACCACCTGAAATGTGTAAAACTGTGGCATCGTTTTTGTTAGGTTTTTCATTTTTATTACTTAAAAAAAATTTTTTTGACAGTCTCGCTCTCTGTCACACAGGCTGGAGTGCAGTGGCGCAATATTGGCTCATTACAACCTCCACCTCCCAGGTTCAAGCAATTCTCCTGCCTCCGCCTGCAGAGCAGCTGGAATTACAGATTCCCACCACCATGGGAGACTAATTTTTGTATTTTTATTGAAGATGGCCCATCTGGTCTCAAACTCCTGACCTCAAGTGATCTACCTGCCTTGGCTTCCCAAATTGCTGGGATTATAGGCATTGAGACACTGTGCCCAGCGTTGCCGTTTTCAACACTGGAGTAGACACTGCTTGGTATACACCACTGAATTGCTATAAAAATAGGATGATGAGGTTTTGCTTTTCATAAAATTAAGCCTGCTGGCTGACAGAGTTGGCTGTTGGCATCAAGATAGAAACCAATTGGCTGGGCACGGTGGCTCATGCCTGTAATCCCAGCACATTGGGAGGCCAAGATGGGCAGATCACCTGAGGTCAGGTGTTCAAGATCAGCCTGGCCAATATGGTGAAACTGTGTCTCTACTAAAAACACAAAAAAATTAGCCGGGTGTGGTGGTGGGCGCCTGTAATCCCAGCTATTCGGGATGCTGAGGCAGGAGAATCACTTGAACCCGGGGAGCAGAGGTTGCCGTGAGCCAAGATGGCACTACTTCACTGTAGCCTGGGCTAAAGAACAAAACTCCATCTCAAAAAAAAGATAGAAACCAACCAGCAGCTCTCTTTGCTGAGTTCTTTGCCACGTGGCCACCATTTCATGCCTAGAGGCTTTTGTGGGGTGCTGGCTGGGAAAGGGTGAAACTTTAATACTGATGAAAAATTAGAGGAATTAAAATCAGACAAAAAAAATTTAAGGCAGAATTTGACGCACCATTAAACTGGTTGTGTCACCCTTTTTTCTTTTAATATCTTCGACGTGAGTATAGCCGAATACCTGGAAGTGAGTGTCATGGGCACACAGACTCGGGAGAAATCCCTTGCTTCTGGCTCATGGAGCAGAAAAGGAAATTCCTAACATGCAGAGGGAGTACGGAAAATTCCCGTTCTATTTTCTTCCTTTCTTTGCACTCCAGCCCCTAGTCAAGCCCGTGGCCAGAGCAAAAAGCTTCAGCAGCCAAAACTCTGAGGGAGAGAGATAGTCCCATTCAGTGGCACTGCATCACCAAAAGGACAGACACAAACTTGGTGTTCTGTTGTTTTTGTTTTCCCACTATGTGGCACAACTGTGGAAGTGGGCAGCTCCCCCAAGCGAAACTGAAAGTGGGAGGTTTCTGACCAGCGAACTGAAACCTCAGGGAACCTAAAAGCACTGAGAAGATAGTGGAAGGGGAGGGCATCTGGCAAGCAACCTCAGAGTTGTTTTTGAACTCTTGGGCTCACCGCTGGCCTGCGTATCACAGATTTAATGAGCACATCACTCAGAGAACTGTGCTCATGAACAGATTTTTTGTTCAGGTACCAAACTACTAGGGGATGCAGCCATGAGATAGATCCAAATAGCCCTGCAGAGGATATGAACACAGAACTCACTTTGGAACATTGACCCCGGGAGAAGACTGGAACTTGCAGCCTAGCGTACATGCTAGTGCATGTGCTTGCTTAAATTAAAATGTTAGCCAGGCAAGGTGGACTACAGGCACACACCACCACTCTTGGCTAATAATATTTTTTAAAATTCTGCACAGATGGGTTCTTGCTATGTTGCCCAGGCAGGTCTTCAATTCCAGGGCTCACGCAGCCCTCCAACCTCAGCCTCCCAAAGTGCTGGAATTATAGGCATGAGTCACACCACCTGGCCTCATTATGCTTTTTATTAAGCTATCTCTATGAGCTTTCTTGAGTCCAAAGCCCCAGTTCCAATCAGTCTGGGCCACTGACAATACTTTCTAAGAGTAACCGCTTTTTTTTTTTTTTTTTTTCCCCCAAGACTGAGCCTCCCTCTATTGCCCTAGCTGGAGTGCAGTGGCACCACCTTGGCTCACTGAAACCTCTGCCTCCCAGCTTCAAGCAATTCTCCTGTCTTAACCTCCTAAGTAGCAGGGATTACAGGCACCCATCACCATGTCTGGCTAATTTTTGAATTTTTAGTAGAGACAGGGTTTCACCATGTTGGCCAGGCTGGTCTTGAACTCTTGACTTCAAATGATCCACCCACCTCAGCCTCCCAAAGTGCTGGGATCACAGGTGTGAGCCATCACACCCAGCTGAGGGTAACTGCTATCTTATGAGAACTTCTCTATATAGTTTTTAATCCTTATGACACCTTTGAAATGGTCTAAATAGAAATGACACTTTGTGGCAACTTTAACAATCAGAGATTTTTGGATTCTAAAAACAACAAAAACACATAAAATGTTAGAAATAATACTTCCCAAATATATTTTCT